CCTCAGAAAGTATCAAAGCTAGCTCCAGACGCACTAGCAGAAACTTCGGTGGCCACTTAGCTTAACACCTCTTTGGCAGAGTTAAAGTCAACACCACACATTTTTATTTTCCAGACATTCTGAGCTCTGGTGTCCAATTTCCTTGCTTTCCTGAAGGATCTACTCCTGAGGCTAAGAGACCTGGAGTTGTATATGGTCCCAGAGGCCAGAAACCTTGACTCAAACACAGAACTACTGATTTGGAGTAATCTCGTAGTGGAGGGTTTTCATGAAATAGGCCCTAAGGTCACGGTTTCATTATGTTCCCCCATGCACAGGGGAATCACTGAATTGTTACCGTATCCCCTCCTACAGTCACCTTGTCTAACTAGTCATACTGAAGGGCATCAAACATCCCAAGGGGCTTAGGAAAGACTTGCCAACAAAACTAACTGGGGCAAATACTACAGCTAGCAATATTGGGCACAAGCAGCAGGCCCAGGGCCCACTCTGAGCTAATGTAGCCCCACTGACCTGCACATAGCTGGAAACTAACCCTTGAAGGGTTGAAGAGTCACCTGGAAACTGTACCTCCTGCCAGCCTGAGTTGCTGAAATTCAGTATTTCCTGTGATTTGTGGGATATGTAACTGGGGTGATTGTAATCACATACACATCTAGGCACAGTAACTTCTAATAGCCTCAGTGTTGTGTAGTCTCTAGCTTGCATTTTGTGTTGAGATGTTGATGGTTGGATCTGAGGTACCTGAAAGAAGTATACAGTTTAAGCAATCTGTAAGACCTAGGGGTGGGTACCACATCTGGACTACCTTTGGATGCCTCTGGCCTTTAGATGATTAAAAGATTAACTTCTCTCCTACAATCAATCTCTCAGGCTCTCCTTCTCCCTTCCTCCACACGCCCACCTCTCTTATCAGTGAAAACTTTGACACTGAAGTATTATTTCCAAGTCTGAAAACATATCTGCTGCCAGCAAAGAGTTTATCTGATTCTGGTCTCTGTGGGGTGATGAAGTCAAGATCCCACCTACTATTTGCCAACATACTGTGAAAGAGCATTTCACATAAACCAAAGGCTATGGGAATAGGGAATAGCAGAGCGGCCTGCTTGGCATGTAACTCATGGTCATGTGACACTTAGCCAAGCAAAGAGAGACTGGCTTCCAGCTACAACCTCAGACCTTGGCAAGAAACAGCATTTGCCAAAAGCCTTATGAGCCTGCCTGGCATGTAACTCATGGTCATGTGATTAGCCAAGCAAAGAGAGACTGGCTTCCAGCTACAACCTCAGACCTTGGCAAGAAACAGCATTTGCCAAAAGCTTTATGAAGTTTGTTTAGCTCACTTCAAATATTTTATTTTAAGCAAATCATCCGAACCAAATTCAATTCTTTCTGTTGGAAAGGAAAACAGTGTGTCTCATGTTATTAAGAGGCAGCTGTGCTTTCCTCTCTGATTTTGAGAGAAACCCCCGAGTTTTGATAGACTCTTCATAGACCAGTCAGATCAACCTTGCTGAGATTGCTCTAATGTACAGAGAGCACAATTTTCTTGTACCCCTGTGATGGCTTCCTACCTATATAAGAAGAAATTTGCACTGTGATGTGACTTACTACTACAAAGAAAGACCTGTAAAACAGTTCTCCATATTTATTTCATTTCCTCTATCCTCTGAAAGATAACATACACTACTAAGACTAAGACAAACCCAGGCAAGAAAAAGATTCTACAGGATTTCAGAAACACTCAGTGTAATGCCACCACACTTGGAAATAATGCAACATTTATTTAATGTCTACAACCAAAATACAAAATACGAATTAAAGATTTGAGATCTATAATCAGTTTCACCATGTATGCACGCATGCATACGTGTATGTATTTATATAGGTATATCGACTAGCTTTCTTCCAAAACATAGACAGATAAGCTGAATTATTCAGAAGATGTGCGTAAACATATACAATGAAGGCAGAATTAAGCTTACCCACTCTGTTAAAGATGGGCTACACATTTATGTATCACTTCCTACAGGCAGAAAGCATGACAGTAATTTTTAAGCAATCAGGTTATGTCTCCATAGCTGTTCTTAAGCCTAGGAAATTAAAATACAAAAACATATTCAAGAAACCCAGAGGCTTCTGGCCTTTTGTTTTCACAGTAGCAGAAGAACTTCATTTCACTCCCCTGTCCTGAATCGGTGGGTACTGACAGTAATTTATTGCAGCCTGTTCCATGGGTGTTTCCTTCGTGACCACCAGAGCTGCTACCCCTGTCTGGAGTCTCAGTGGTTGCCCTCAAGGGGGCATTATTGGTTGTCACATCTTCGAGAGAGGGGTTGCTGCTAAATATGCACAAGACAGTCCTAAAACAAAATGCTATCTGGCCAAACTGTCAATAAAACAGAGGGAGGAAAGCTCTGGAGTTTTCTAGTTTTAGAAAGCATTAGCCTTAGTTGGGAGTCTTGGCCTTGGTTTCTCATTCTAGAAACCTCAATGCCAGAAGAGCTTTTGTAACTAGCAAGAGGAGGAAAGAATGAGCCCAAAGGTTTACTCCAGATCTCGGATATAATAACAAAGGAATTTCAATGTGGGAGGTCTTTAGGCCATAGCTAAAGGGCATTAGGATAAGTCTACCTGGGTGCATTATGGAAAGCTGGGCATTGCTCTAAAAATTGGAAGCTATCCCATCTCTTAACTGACTGAACAAATGAGCCTCGCCAAATAAAATGTGTTTTACAGCAATGATGGAAGAACTGCTGGAGAGCAAGAGAGAGTAAACAGATGGAAAGAACACCAGGGGAAATTGAGAAATAGCCATCTGATGATATAATTTAGACTTGGACAGAGAACCACATGCCTGAATGCTTCCAGCTCTGACCTGCAGGTGCAGCCGCTGGCCTCCCAGTACCCCTCCAGCTGGGTGGCTTTCTGGAGTTGTTCTTTAGGTGACAGAAGGTAAGGATCGTCCACAAGCAGTGTCTCATGCCTGGTTACAAACTGTTCTATTTCTCAAGCCCTTCCTCGTATCTTACCTTTCTTTCCTTTTCACTTCTTTATAAGTCACCAGATTTCTAGATATGTAAAGGTCAGTTCAAAATGGATAAATGAATACCAAAAACTAGCTTTCCTCTCAAATATCTCACTAATCACCATGACTCATAAGCACATGCAATTCAAGATTTGAGCTGTTTCTGATAAGCTCTGATCCTGTCCAACCACAGTGGTGTTAACACCTTTAATCCCAGCACTCAGGAGGCAGAGGCAGGTGGATCCACTGTGAGTTCGAGGCCAGCCTGGTCTAGAGAGTGAGTTCCAGGACAGCTGGGGCTACAGGGAGACCCTGTCTCAAAAAGACAAAAAAAAGGTGTAACTCATCTGAGCTCATGCGAACTGAAAAAGTGAACTGCAAAGTAGCAGGAATTCCTGTGAGGTCTGCTCTACTTTGTCTAGGCTACACTCTACGAAGAAATGCAAACATGTGGCTACAGAGAACTTGATCAGTGTAGACACAAGGCTGCTCATCCAGGAGGAAATGAAGCTGAAAGCAGCCTCTGGACCAGCCAGGAACACAGGGTCTCCGAGGGGATGATTCAGGTTAAGAGTTTATACACATGCTTTTGAATCACTCAGTGTGTTAATCATACCCAATTTTTCCTGTGTTAGTTTCTGAATCTACTGTCATGCATCACCAGCCTCCTTTGAGCTATTATACGCACCTCATTATCTTCAAAGTGAAGGTTTCTTATTAAATCTACAAATTATTTTTTTGTTAGTACAATAAGCAGTTTTGTCCAGTGGATAATTGTTCATGGCTTTCTATCTCTAAAAATAATTTTTATAGATAGACATATAGATGATAGATAGATGACAATTTCAATATATACACAGTATACAATACTTTCACATATATACATATATAGCTTCATATAGATAAAAATTATGTATAATTTATTTATCATCCAAGAGTTAACTAACAAAGGAAAAAGAAAAACCAGGATTACAGTGAGCAGAATAAACTCTGGTTTCTGGTAAATGAAACAAAACAAAGCTGTTTCCATATGAAAGTTGGTTTGTTTCAAATGTCACAAAAGTTCACTTCTCTCAGCCTAACTGGCTTCTACAATGGTTTCTAATCAATTTCCTGGCTCTGCTAGTCCTGCAAATATGCATCAGAAATAACTTGACAGTGTATTTCTAATACTCATCTTTCAATAATACACTTCAGAAAGTTGTCTCAAAGCCAAATGAATTTGGGGATTAAGATATTAATTTTCTATTAGATGTAGGCATAAGTACACACGTAGGGCTGATGTGAAATCCAGCACAGTGCTCTCTCCCTGAGATTAGTGGAACAGCCTCAGAAGGCTCTCAGGCTACACCATGGTTAAATAGAACCTTTAAGAACTCAGTTAAAGGTAATAGGATGTAAACCCACTGGCATCAGCAACATTAGGTGTATCCAGGAGAAAGGGTGAAGAGGTAGGGTGGGGTGAAGGAAGATAAAGTACAGTTGTTT